ACGGCTATCCCCAGATGTTCCATCACCAGAATTATATCTTGTCGCTAAAAATACATCCAGATACCTTCAAAATAAAGGTCGATTGACGGTAGGTGAGATATGACAAAAGGGAAGGGTTGGGATTTTGAAGACACAGAACATAGCTGAAGCTTGCTACTTTGTTCTCGGACGTCATTGCTGGCTCTCAGAAGAGCCTCTCTCACATAGCAGATATGAGATTTATTTGGGTAATTACAAACTGTGAAATCAGTAGGTCCTCGTAAAATTCCCGTTCCTGGCGATATCAAGTGTTATTCCTACTCTACTCACGACCATGAATAATGGATTACAATAACCTATTGTAACACTTTAACGTCGATATTCGTTCTGTCTGTCGATTCAGGTGAACTAGTAAAAGTTTCAAGCATTATAATTGACGATCATTTCATATGTCTTCTTCAAGTCTAATCCTTTCACTCTTCTGGTATAAAATTGAAAATTTGTATTGTTTTCTCAATATGAAATACAGAACTGTTTGACATCTCATCGTATCATTGTGTGTAACATACTGAACAATTTTCAGCACAAAATATGTACTTCACAGCTGATTGGTATAGAAAAGAACAACGTTTACACTCACTATATTATTTTCTTGCTTGAAACTCTTTTGAAAGGTTTTTGATAATGCCTAATCCATGTATAAAATGTAATACTGGCGTCAATGTTATGAAGAAACTAGGAAACAACACTGGTCATACCATCAACTGATTAGGTAACAGTTGGTGTAAATGTAACTTGAGAAGAGGTGTGCTGCTGAGTATATATCTACATCAAGATCATCTAATATTCAAACAATTTACTGAATTGAGCTGCGTCTATCATAATTCACCAGATGGTTTGTTGAAATGCCGTCTCAAGATATGCTTAAACTATGACAAGTTCACCATAGACGACAAAAGAAAACAAACAATGAACCAGCGTCCAGGTAGGCTACTGAGATATTATGATTAGTCTATTTCTGTATAGTAAAACATCACCCTACCAAAAACCATGAATAAAACAATCCTTCAATTCTCTCGTTGAACTACGCTATTGCAAACAAAATGAAATTACTGCAAGTGTTCGAGTAACTTGCGCAGACAAACATCTGTATTTTAATATCTGGTTGTGTATTATAACCTGCGCTACATTCATTTTCCAAATGTCTTCGAAAGATAAACAACCGAACTTGATGCTGTTGTATTTTATGACTTCAATTATTTATCAAACATTTTCCAATGACGCATCATATTTGACAAGTGAACAATATTCAAAGTTGACAAAGTGATTATTATTCAGTCGACGTAGCAAAAAGTTCGCTACACAAGCCAAAATCAACATGTTGTAGCCTCGTGTAATTCGACTGTATCCCACATGTACCAGTGCATTGAATTCTAAGACGGTGAGTTGCAGAGTTCTGCAAACATCACATATATAAAATATTTAAATAGTTGTTTCTATCTTTAGTAAATATGTGAATGGTGATGGTGATAAATTTATTTGCGTACTTTATAAAATGACGACAAATTCAGATGGAGATGGATTTATTTGAGTGCTTGATACAGTAACGACAGATTGAATAATATTTCATTGAATTATAATCCATCAATTATTTAAACAAATTCTTATAATTGTTTATCTACCACACTGTTCAAAGTAACATACGTTCTCGTTTCCACTTCTGTCAAAATGAATATAGTTGGTGTAAGTGTGTAGTGCGATGTTATAATTTGTTTGAATTGCATCATTCGCATCCCTATGTAACTTAAGTTACGAACTTGTTGATAGTCGAATTTAATGAAAAAGTATGGTGCATGAGATCTTATACAACAATAATTCATGATACTGGGAGTAAAATGATAACTGATTTTATATAAATCATGTAAACAATCATACTGCAAATCCGTTGTTCCTCAAAATGTTTCTGAACTCTATTCAATGTCTTTGATTTGTCTGATATATGGAGATTCTACGTATTCAAGCACGAAGAACTATGTCAAATGATGATATTTCTAGCGCATTTTAAGCAACTGTCATGCGTATAGCTGTTAGACTAGGTTGAATTTCCCACTAATTAAGTTCCAGACCGTCATTGTCAGGTCCCAGATCCGCCTTTCTTACATTGCAGATATGAGCTTTATTTGGGTGAATACTGTAGAATCTTTTTTGAATGTTTTGCTTTTTAGAAAATCCCTCCATGTATATGTATATTTGTGTTATGATATGACTGACTCTTTCTGTTGATATTATGGTACTCTATTTGATTCCATTTTGATATTTTATCATTATATTTTGTTATTATTTCTATATCTTGTACTTATATTGACGATTTATGTTTGCTTCTGAACTGTACATATGTTGTTTAAATTTGATATTTATTATGGCTACAGACAAATTTGGATTCGACACATCGACAGTACGGATAGGAAGCACTTATTTTTCCAGAAACGGATACTCACCGCGGTAAATCGGATTTCAAAAGTGTAATATTGTTGGGTAATTGTCTATAGTACCATTTTATGTTGAATGAGGACCGTTTTCTCCCAGAATTATTGTGTTTTGATTTCGGATCTGGGACAGCGCGTATCAGCCTGCACCTATTGGAAACAAAGCAAACTGCTAGGGTAGAAAATTCATCTATAACTACCAACTGTGAAATCAGTAGGTTCTCGTAAAATACCCGTTCTTAGCAATATCTTGTCTTCTCGCCTTTCTATTCATGACCATGACCGATAGAAAACAATAACCTATTGTAACACTTTAACGTCGATATTCGTTCTGTCTGTCGATTCAGGTGAACTAGTAAAAGTTTCAAGCATTATAATTGACGATCATTTCATATGTCTTCTTCAAGTCTAATCCTTTCACTCTTCTGGTATAAAATTGAAAATTTGTATTGTTTTCTCAATATGAAATACAGAACTGTTTGACATCTCATCGTATCATTGTGTGTAACATACTGAACAATTTTCAGCACAAAATATGTACTTCACAGCTGATTGGTATAGAAAAGAATAACGTTTACACTCACTATATTATTTTCTTGCTTGAAACTCTTTTGAAAGGTTTTTGATAATGCCTAATCCATGTATAAAATATAATACTGGCGTCAATGTTATGAAGAAACTAGGAAACAACACTGGTCATACCGTCAACTGTTTCATGTGGCATTCGATCGTTGCCACACTCAAAGTTGAGGGGATATCGAATAATGTTGTCAGTTAATTGATGGATATCTTATGTTCTGATTACCATGAAATTAGCCAGATTTCCTATCATATAAGCTACAATAAAATCTGAAGAGCATAAAATTACAAAATAATTATTTTCAATTTAGAATTTCATTCAACAGTGAGATATCGTCCACAACTCTACGATATTAAATGTCCTCTGGATTGCCAGAAAGCATTCATGGTTATAACAAACAGTTTATGTACACATACGGATGGTTTGAATCGACAAATAGCCAATATTATCACGAGCGCTGTTCGTTCTTGATGCTTCTCAAAGATATCTTGGAGGCCAGCATGTTATGTTTGTATTTTTACACATTTGAAATCTTCATACAATCAAACACAAACATCCGGAATTCAGCCAGAGATTACACAGTAATTTACCGAGCCTCAGAATTTGTCGTTTATGCATTCCCCATGTTATCAACGTTATTTCACGTCTGTATTATATGTTTGTTAACCGAAGAACTTGAGTTTCTGTTCCTCCCGTCCATTAGTTCATCTGACATCTACTGATTTCGTACGAAATTGGATACCTTATGCTTTACACTTTATTAAAAACACGATTATCCCCCCCTTTTCTTCTATCTACACATACTAGTGAACAGCTTAATTAGATGGGATGTGGTGCAGTTGTTGAAACAATGTCTTGGTCTATGTGTTATAATTAGTTTATTTTTCTAAATTATCATCAGTTTGGCAGGGAACTGTATTTTTAACTCTCTCTTCATCTTATCTGTAAAAATGTCGTTTTAAACCATTAGCTTGCGACTTCAAAATACCCCGACATCCCTATTTAGTCGGAACAACCAACGACATGCTTACTCAGACACTCACTGAATGAGAAAGTCGCCAAATTCTGACCTGAAACTAAAAGAGAGGAGATTACAAATATGTAGTTGTTTATGTTTTTTAAAACTATTCATCTAATCCTCAGACCATCAGGTTCGTTGTGATAGCATCAAGACTCGTCAACGTCTTTTCAATTCACCTGACACACATCTTAACTCATTACTTCTCAGTGGTGTTCTGCTTATATTT